AAATTAATACCATAGATAATAAGCGGTATCTAGCAACACATTATTACCCCCAGATTATGAAAAAGACGTTCATCTCATCAATACCTTCTACGACACAAGACATTCTATAACTATTATCCTTCTGTCCTAAATGTCATGATTTAACACAAGGCATGGGATGTGTATCCTTGTATAGTTAAATCAGCTGTTACTGAATCTCAAGTAGACTAGCAGGGATCAGATATTTATCAGTCTCTAGATAGTGACATATCTGGGCATGGCCATGCACTTTCCCAAGTCCTACTATTCAGTGGGCCCATTGACATTATACTTCTATACAGTAGAAGGGACAGATCATGTATCTGTTATTCACATCTCTAAATATGCTTAGCGGCATACCCAACGCATAACTGTACGTCTACCAGTATTTCAGATAGCATTAGTAATGAATCAAAGCATACGGACCCACATATCAGAGAATGTAATAACTTCAAGTCTGAGGATAGTTATAGCAAGGTCGATTTGAGAATACTGATAAACACATTACTGTAGATCCATGCAGTATTCTCAAGATGGGTCAATCCAGTCACATATCATCAATATAATATGCACCTACGTACAGATTAAGATATCACAATATCTATAGTCTATGAGACGCAACTATCTCATCTCGTACGCACTAGTCTTGATACGTTATGACGTCCGTATTATCATAAAGTGCGACTAGGGATATTCTAGACATAGCCTTCGTCAAGAAGTAACAGTCTCATAATCAGAACATCGTAGTCCTCATCTATGTTACTGAAGCGCTATCGTCTATGGACTGATGCTATGTTATGTTACACGAGATATAAAACATACTTCAAGGCCTTTCATTCATGATAAAGTGTACAGTTACATAGGTATTTGATTGCCGCTAGGGCACCTAAATACAACAATCTCCCACTTGCCCTAAGGCCAATCAAGCATTTCTCGAATGCCCATGGACCACGTATGACTCTCGTGTTTAGGCTTTCCCAAAGCCTTCGTCAACGGATCCGCGATATTGTCGTCTGTACCTATCTTGCAAATCTCAACGTCCCCACGTGCAACGATTTCTCGTATGATGTGATAACGTCTAACGATGTGTTTGGTCTTCTGGTGAGACCGAGGTTCTTTCGCTTGTGCAATTGCCCCATTGTTGTCGCAAAACAACGGTATAGGGTTCTTGATGCTAGGAACCACTCCAAGCTCAGTAATAAAATTCTTGAGCCACACACCTTCCTTGGCTGCCTCGGCTGCAGCCATGTACTCTGCTTCTGTAGTGGAATCAGCGGTAGTATCTTGCTTGTAACTCTTCCAGGTAACAGCTCCGCCATTCAAACAAAACACATACCCTGCCTGCGACTTGAAGTC